CGACACCAACGAGGGAAATTGTGGCATCACTAGCAGTTTGGCATTGGCAGATCCATGTGCCGACCAGCGAATCGCAATGACCGCCGGCTCCCCTGGAAGAGGGCCCCTTTTAGGCGGCCTGCCCTGGAAATCTACCAAGTAGGCAGGCTGATCGTTTTCGAGGAGTGGTCACAGGTGGGCTTTCAGCCTTAGAGAGACACTTCGGCTTACCTTGGGGCACCTAGCGAGCACGTCTGGGCGTCGAGGTAGGAGGAACATTGTTGTCTGGTACTTGGTATCTCCCTATTGCTCCTGCTACCCTTTTACTGACTTCTCGGTACACTGCGCACATCCTTCACGGCTAGACTCCGATATCCACGTCTGCAGGTCTAAACACTGTAGACTGTTATGCAGGTCGTACGATTGCCGCCTGCTGACGCTTTGAAACGGACCAGGAAATGCCCTCGTACTCTTTCAGTTTCAGACCATCAGCCAGACCCCCAGGGGGCCCAAAAAGGTACCCGAGAACAAAATATTATTAACCTTGTAGCCCCCAATAATATGGAGTACGCTTCTCGTATTCAGGCGAGCCGAAAGGAACCGTTCATCTCGAGTAATGATTACCGAGTAGATTCCATCATATCATCTTCCGCTCCAGCCACGCATGGAATAGGCTCTTTGGAAGTGAAAAGTTTTCTGTGTCACAGCTCTTCAGTCCATATCAACCAATGTTTCGGTCCATGGCGTTTCTTGGGTTGCAAGTCTAGACTGACCACTCGGCGTACAACTGCACTCTGATTGGAAAGTGAAAGAGTGCTCCCGGGCATGTCCAGCTGGACTTCGCTTGCCACGCACTAACGAATTCACTGTGGCGGTGCGATGGTCACGACTTCTCACACGCTCTTCCTCCGGCGGTAGATGTTTCGACACAAATTGACCGAGGCTCAAGATATATCGCCACCATTAACTGTACTAGGTATACGAGGTACACACCATACAGAGAGGTAACACGTATGTACAATCGCTTAATTCGGCAATAACGATGCGACAAGCCACCAGAAGAGTGCCTCCGTCTATCTCGCCACAACGAACCCTACTCCCGAAACGCCCATTTTTGTATTCACACCCCTCTCAAACTTTAGGTTTCCGCGCAACCATCAGGTACATTGGTGTGAACAGCTTCTGCTTCCCGCCAGCAACTAAACAATCAGCAGCTAGGGCCAGGCTGTCTGCCGTCTTCTGCGTGCCACGAGGCATGACTCTCAGACTCTCCCCAAGTCCAATAAATTTATGGATCAGACCCCGTCCCCACCACGTCATGCGTCCGATGGTGAATACGTCGCCAATGCTGCCCATATATCTGAAATCGCCTGCAAGAGGGTAGTACCAGGGGATCGCGTCCGGTCTTTCAGCAAGGTCTTCATGGTGCTCTAACTCGAAACCTGCGGCTTTGATGGCCGCCAACCCTTCCGAGACTTTGACCATGTTGGAAATGCCGTCTCCTTGCTCGATGCCAAGTCGGATCTCGCGGTGCTGAGGATTGTCGTTGTCATAGTTATCAGTCATGAGCCATTCATACACCCCAAAGACACCACCAGGCTTCAGAACCCGGAAAATCTGCTCATACACTCCCTGCAGACTGGGCGCATGCACTGTGGCCTCAATGGCATACACGGCATCAAAGCTGTTCTCAGGAAACGACATTTGCATGAAATCGCCCTTGACCGCCGCGAACTTGTGTGCAATACCCTCCTTCTTTGCATAGCGTAACGACCGTTCGATTTGATAGTCGTTATTGTTCAGACCCACAACGTTGGCCCCAGTGAACTTGATCATTTCTCGGGCAGGTCCTCCAACACCGCAGCCGACATCCAGAACGCGCCAATTCTCTTGCATATTCATCTTCAAAGCAAGATAGTGCTCGTGACGCGCAATGGCTTTGTAGAAGGACTCTCCCGCGGCAAAGCGACAGAAATGGAACGAGGTGCCCCAGCCATATTCGTATAGGTCAGTGGCGAGGTTGTAGTAGCTACCCCGAACAGTTAGCGGGCTTGTCATCGCAGTCCTGGAAATTCAACACATACTGTCTTGTCAAGGTGGCATATTCATCTCTTCGTGCCTTTCGAATTTCTTCAGTCTCGGTGGATGCCGATTTGTTGTCCCAATGTTTAAAGTACTCATCGAGGGCAGCCTTCTGCGCCGCCTTGTCCTTAGAGCGCATGGCCATCAGTCCCCCCGTAGCATCAACTGACTTGCCATGAAGCACTTTGTTGAAGGCAGCATCGCGGTCGTGATCCTCCTTCTCGAGGACCGTAACGGGCGAGAGAGCAGAGGGGGCCATGTTCAACAGCGGAAAGGGAGTATCTGGACAGAAGGCGAAGCTGTGAAGAACTTGAAAGAAGTGCGAGTGATGCTTCTCAGCGCCTCAGTTTGTAGGGGGGAGAATGAGCGACAAGCGGTCAGTGACACCATCCGGAATGAAAGAGCGCTATGGGTGCTTCTATTGGGGGTAGGTAAAAAAATATATGGCCGGCTCTGTTTTCCCCGGCGCAATCACCAATGGCCTGATTCTCAACTAGATCTCTTGGCAGGGGTCGCCCATGCGCTTTCTTCTCGGCGATCTGGACAGAATCCTTCCGCAGCAGGCCACTTCGATGGCGACTTTCACGTGATACTCGGCTAACCTTCTGTCTCAACGATTAGGTACCCAGTCTGGGTACGTTACGAGGCTCGTTCAGAGAAATTTAGCAAGGCTGAGTTTTCCCCGCCATTTTATCATCCAACAAACTTATTACCCAGCATTTGTCAGGCAGGCGCTCGCCGTTGGGGACCCTATACTTGAGCCGTCCCCCCATATTTTCTGACCTCAGTCGAGTATTGGCCTACCCTGATCCTGTTGTTTATCTTTACCCGCAACACCCCTCGCCCACAATGGCGCCACCTCAGATTAAACAAGATCTGAATCGCTCTGGCTGGGAAACAACTGATTTCCCTTCCAGCTGCGAGAATTGCCTGCCCGATAACCCTTATGTCCAAATGCTGAAAGAAGAGTATGGAGCCGAGTGCAAGATATGCACACGGCCCTTCACCGTCTTCCGCTGGAAAGCCGATCGCACCGCCAGGACCAAGCGAACAAATATCTGCCTCACTTGCGCTCGACTGAAAAACTGCTGCCAGTGTTGTATGCTCGATTTATCATTTGGCTTGCCTATCACGGTCAGAGACGCTGCGCTGAAGATGGTTGCACCGGGCCCACAGTCCAGCATTAACCGAGAATACTATGCCCAAGAGCACGAGAAGGAACTAGAAGAAGGACGAGGCGCAGTCGAAGCATATGAGAAGACAGACGAAAAAGCTAGAAACTTGTTACGGAGACTAGCCAACAGTGAGCCATATTACAAGAAGCAAAGACGATTGGAAGCAGAGGGATCTCAATCTGAACAACAACAACAACCGAAAGAGCAGAGACAAAGTAGCTACGGCCCCGGGCCTATACGCACTGCAGATTCTAGAAAAGCCGGAAGCGCTCAGCGAGGTGCTAAGACAGGACCTGGTGGTGCCAGAGTGGTCACAGCGGCGCGACCTCCTCAGCCCGAAGATTGGTTGCCTCCATCCGACCCCAACATCACCTCGCTCTTTGTTACCGGTGTCGAGGACGATCTGCCGGAACACGCGATTCGCAGCTTCTTCACTCCTTTTGGTCAGATTCGGTCCATAGTCTGCTCCCACCGAGCCCATTGCGCATTCATAAACTATGCCACAAGAGACGGAGCCGAGGCTGCTGCTGCGCATTGCCAGGGGAGAGCAGCCATTCAAGGATGCCCACTGCGAGTTCGATGGGGTAAACCGAAGCCACTTGACAACACAGACCGGGATCAAAAGCTGAGCTGGGCGAAAGAGGGTCGGGAGACAGCAGCTGCTGTCAAAGCTCAGCAGTCAGGTCAGAGAACTATTACCACTGGCGATAGCCAAGCTCAAAATGAGGGTGCGGGCGTTGAAGGAAATACTAGTTTCACTGTCGCGCCTCCACCGGGCCAAGGGGATGTCACCTATGCCAGTTTGGCCGGCGATTGAGCTTTGAGGTGACATCAAAAATATCTTTCTTTGTACAGAATGAGCATGGCGTTATGGAACAGCACGCTGCTGGCATGCGATGGCGAAGGCAAGCCACCACTGGGTATCATAGTGTGTTCAAAAAAAAAGAAATGAATGAACCCCATACTCTTGATTGTTCATATGCCGCCAACCTTGACCTTTCCGCCTTTTCCGAGTGGGTTTTTCACAGTGTCATTGTCGCCTTTCTCTGTGTCCTCGTGTATATTCAGTCCTGTCCCATCGTTTAGCCTTGTATCCAACACGACAAAACAATCCGCCCTCACATACGTATCACATCTGACCCCTCTACCTGCTTTCCTTGCACAACATTGTGTCGCAATATTGAAGCCACACCCTCAGCATGTGCGATCCCCTTGATTGCCTCCTCTGAGTCGGGGTCCAGTGATCTTAATGTGTCGAATCCTGTGCGTGCTTGCGTCCGGGCAGCATGGAGGAGATGGTAGTCGCCTGGAAATGCTATGCGTGTCGCTCGGAGTAGGTGTCTGTAGGCCGCCAGCGCCATCTTTGTTGGAAATCAAGGTGCGGGGGTGGAAAGTAAAGGTGAAGTACGCTCTACAGCAAGCAGTAGTCCCTTCGCTTGAACTAGACAGTAGGCGTATTCACATCACATTCACATCCACTTCCACTCCGTACGCTCTTTTGGAGCTTCCACCATCACTCCCATCCTGGCAAGTTTAGCGAATATTGGATCCACCAAGCCACCAAGCACCAATAGACAAAATGGACTCGATGGGTAAAAAAGACCAGGCTCTCATAAAATTATTTCTCTTCTCTTGAACACTGACCAACTTGAACCTCTAGATTCTATTGTACCAATCCGAGAACTCCTCGGCCGCCTTCAAGAATTCGGAGAGCTAGCCTCAGAGGTCCACAGGGAACTCAGCCGAATTGCGCTCGAGTACAACATGGCTTCAGAAGGGCTTGTGCCGGCTCCTGCAGCGGATTGGAAGGGGGACAGTGATGGCAATCCCAACTTCCGGACCCTGGGGAAGATTTCTCCACCTGTAATGCGCAAGATTGAGCCATTCGGAGCACAGTTTCTCGCGTATGCTCGTCGCAAACGCCATGGTCGTACTTTCTCCGAAGATCAACGTATCGAAGCCCTCAAAAAAGTGAAGAAATCCGAGGACGATGATGATGGCGAGATCAGTGAGCCGGAGGATCCCTTGATGCTTGCCAGAGACGCGAAGGACTGGAAGGTAAGATTTTGCAAGAGATTTTGAGGTTTGGTACTTCACCGCTGACCCAACGGCGGGTTTAGGGACAAGACCATTACGCCGTCCTCGGTCTCTCCAAATACCGCTACAAAGCTACCGACGAGCAGATCAAGAAAGCTCACCGTAAGAAAGTTCTCAAGCACCATCCAGACAAGAAAGCCGCTGCCGGCCAGAGCGATGAGAACGATTCCTTTTTCAAATGCATTCAGCGCGCCTACGAAATTCTGACCGACCCGGTCAAGCGCCGTCAATGGGACTCGGTCGATGAAGCTGCCGACGTCGAACCTCCTACTAAGAAAGACATGCAAAAGCCAGGAAACTTTTACAAGAAATGGAATGCCGTGTTTCAGAGTGAAGCCAGATTCAGCAAGAAGACCCCGGTTCCGATGCTCGGCGACGAGAACAGCACGCGCGAAGAAGTCGAGGAATTTTATGATTTCTGGTACAACTTTGACAGTTGGCGCACCTTTGAGTATCTGGATGAAGACGTCCCAGACGACAATGAAGGACGAGACCATAAGCGACACATTGAGAAGAAGAACGCCAATGCTCGACGTAAGCGCAAGACTGAGGATACGGCTCGGTTGAGGAAACTTGTGGATGATTGCCTGAGCTATGACGAGAGAATAAAGAAGTTCCGCAAGGCCGCGAATGCAGACAAGAATAAGAAGCGGTTGGAGAAAGAGGCTGCTGCGAAACGAGAAGCCGAAGAGAAACAGCGAGCCAAGGAGGAAGAAGAGCGAAAGAAGAAGGAAGAAGAAGAGAAGTTGAAGGCGGACAAAGAGGCGGCCAAGAAGGTGAAAGAGGCAGCGAAGAATGCCGTCAAAAAGAACAAGCGTGTGGTCAAGAACAGCGTCAAAGACGTGAACTATTTCTCAGTGGGGGAGGCATCACCTAAACAGATCGACGATGCGTTGAACGACGTTGACAAGTTGCTCGGCAACATTGACGCGGACGAATTAGCCGACCTTGTCTCTAAACTCAACGTTGCCGGAAAGGACGCAGCCAAGGTCAAGGAAGTGTTCTCGGAGACCACAGGTAGCCTGGTTGGAGCTGGGAAGCTGAAGGAGAGTGATTTGAGGGTCTTGAAATGAGGAAAAGGAAAAGCGCACAGAGGAAACCAGCATTCCCTGTGCAGGGTTGGCAGAGCGCACAAATTTCTCTCCACGACCCGCATGGGCAAAATTGCAGATTTGAGACACTGGATAGATCATATGTAGCGATTGATTCAGGCATGGCGACGGCGGCACGGGGGTTCAAGTGTCTACCAGTACGGGAGACGCTTTAAAACGTCGATTGCAACGAGCAACTCTCTCCACTGCCATTTGATCCTTTCGCTTGCTATGTCGCATTCCAGCCTCAAACACTTTTCCCCCCCCCTTTTTTTTTTTTTTTTTAAACAAATCCTCCGCGCTCAGAGGATTATCGAGACTACTGTGGGTGCTATATCGGTACGCACTCTGTGCCTGTATGTGTCCATGTAACATATATCCTCCGCACGCGCCCACGATGCCACGAATGAGCCGAGATGAATCCTCCATATACATGCTAATAGGGACATGCTTAAGATACATAGGCGCCACCCAGAGCTTTGGTCAGCTTTGCTTGTTCGCAGGCCAGTCCCTCACGGATTTTGCTGCATGGCTCTTGTCAACAGATCGGTGTCGAGGTATGCGCGCACCTGGACGATCTTGCCAGCCGCAAACTTGCAGACCCAGCAGTAGCGCATGTCGTACGGGAGGCCTACGCGCAGGAGGGGGAGAAGGTTAGTATGTTATGTATGTAAGCATGTACGCATTGGTATGAGTTTGGGTATCCGGTCCTGTGCTGTGCTTGGCTATACTGCTGCCGTGTTTGCATAGGAAGCAGGAGGGTGCGCTGAGGCATTGCTTTGGATTCTTTTCCTTTCCTTTCCCCCCTTCTCTGTTTACCGAGGGAAAGGTTGGGGAGAGTTTTATTGCCGTCCAAAGAGATTTGGAGGATTTTTTGGGTGTGACAGGGTAGATAGAATAGACCAAAGCACATCACGCAAGAGGACCACAATCAGTAGCAGATAAAACAGGGGGAACGTACCGTTCTTGCACCACGCATCCAAAGCCTCCAACTCAACCACCACGTCTCCGTCAATCTCCTCGTCCTTCCCTTCCCCTTGACCTTCGCTTTCTCCGCCCCCCGATACAACAACATTCCGGACCTGCAGCCTCAGCGGCTCCGTCAAGACCCTCTCGCGGAGCACCTTCAACGTGTTCTCCATGAAGTCCTGCTTCGAGGTGTAGCGGCCCGACATGGGCGAGTGGCCGCAGATGGTCCAGTCGACGTTGTCGGCGAGCAGGCCCAGGGTCTCGGGCTGGCGGCCTTGGACGGCCAGAGGGGCGAAGAGGCGGGTTATTTGGGCCACGGTGGGGGGTGCCATGGCGGTGGTAACGGGAAGAGCAAGAGTGGGAAGAGTGTTCTGTCTACTCCTTGGATGTTTTGTGGGAAATGGGAAATGGAGGCGTGTTGATGGAGGAAAGAGTCCCCGAATATTGAAATGCTTCGGCTGATCAATGTCCAAAGTCGAGCTGGTGCATGTAGAATTGTATCGGTAACCTTGCTGAGGAGCGCCGAACCAGTTGAACGTGGAGTGCCCAGAAGAAAATATCATGAGCTCCTCGGCCGTCTGGTCGTTGGCTTGATACACCCCTTGGTCGTACATCGATCTTTCACAAACCTCGGTCATAGCATAGTCGCCAAGCAGTAAGCCAGCGCTAAGACTCCGCACCAGTTCGAGGGGACGTCTTCTCTATTTTACAATTCTGATGTAATATCCAATATTGCCGTATGCGGTGTGTAGGAATTCTACAGGGAGAGTAGCCCAACTTACTGACGTAAGGATGTGATATATGCACTCGTACATAAGCCACTCAGTCAAAAGATCTGACGCGAACCTCGGGTTCGGAGTCGCATATTCCATTCTCTGGGGCATCTGCATTTTCCAAAGTAAGTGTCTTTCTTTATGGGACTTGTGGCCTTGCATCATGCGTGAATTCCCTGACGCTGAACTCTGACCGGCTTTAGCAATAGCAACGGTTTCTCGAACTGCCTTTTCTTCGAACTGCTCTCTCGTTCGCTTAATCGTTGCTTGCGACAAGGCCTTCAATTTGCTGCGTTAGGGGGTTCCATCAGGAAATAATGCTCGATTGACAACCAGACAGTGACGAATAGGGAAGATGCGAATGACAATCGACCATTAGCGAAACGCACACGGTGACATGGACATGGAATGGAGGGAGTCGGCGCAGAGCACAAGGTGTCGGGATCACGACCGACACCACTCCTCCCTTGGTTTGTTAGCACCATTGACATTATTCTCCAAATGTTGATGCTGCTCGTTCGCATTCTGGAGCTAACGGCATCTCGGAGAATTGGCAAGGCACGGTAGCTGGTAGTGAAGCTCGTTCGACGTCCGAACGGCGGGTATCGCGTCCAAGCGTGTCACCCGTTGGTGGAGTCTGACACGGGCCTTGAAGAAGGAGGGAGTCTGGTAAGCTTCTGTAAATGAGAGCAGTACACCATCATATACCGTATTTGAGAACGCCTGTTCCCATGTGGCAGGACCGCGCTGAACCGGGAGTTCGTTGCACATGGTGGCAGTGGGCTAGATATGATCTTGGCCAGCAATGTCATTTCCTGGGGTGCCAACAGTGGATTAGACGTGTTCCGTACCCCAGAAGGATCATCACCACCCTCCTTTCAAGCCGCTCAGCTTCTTCGTTAGTGTCTGTAGGAGAGAGCGAGACCACGGGCTGCCACGGGCCGACTCTACTGAGCAAAGCTCCGAGTACTCCGTACCTATATAGACAGTCCTGGGTTGATCTCCGCAGAAATCTACCGGCCACTTGCGAATATGGACGCGTACATGAGTATATGGGTGGTATGGGAAAGGGACCAAACCTAAAGGCTCAAAGGGGCAAGAACGGGGAACTTCCCGTGGCGCTTGGTCAGGGTTTAAGCCCGTTCCGCCCCGCCAAGCAGTCGGAAGTGCATCTCCCACTCCCTCTCAGCCAATCAGGTGGCCTGCCTTGCCCGCACCTTTGGAACGCCTCAAGAAGGAATTGTTAGGTAACTCGGGAGATCTCATGCTATTTCCGATCCTTGTGATATTAACTTCCACTAATCCGTAGTCATGATAACTTGAGTCCATACTACCTTAGGGGGGTACGTGCTCTACAATACCGAGTAGGCACCGGAGATCCACCCTGTTAAAAAACTCTTTTTGATCGGCAATTTCCATCTCCTGTTCCTCCAAAAAAAGAGGAAGCGGGAGAAACCATCGGACAAAGCTCGGATGAACACGGAATACTCCTGGCCCAATACCCCAATTCCCACTAAAAGCATTGACCGTGCAAAGGCTAATAATTAAGTCGATGTGCCCCCTCTGGGAGTGACATTTCCTCACTCTCGCCCCGCGAGTTTGTCTCGATAAAAGCGAGCTAAAAGTGAGGCACACATCCCGCAAGATACTCGTTCTTCAACACGACATGGCTGCACATGCATTTAGTGTGCATCTTCAGGGCGTGGGGACTCTTCTTCTCGAACAACATACGGGGCCGCCTCTGGCACCAGTTCCAGGATCTTAGCCCCGACGCTGTGGTTTTTGGGATCTAAGATGTGTTCAAGAAAGGCCGTGGACAGAGTTGGTTTATTTCTGGTCCGATCCCACCCAAGACATGCTTGGTTACTGTACGGCCAGTTATGGTACTGACCGGCTTCTAGGAGCGATGCGTACGAGTCCCAGTGAGAGAGAAGATACTGCTTGATCGGAGGTCTACACCCTCGGGTCAGCCAATCCTGGCGGCAATTCCCAGCACCACAGGGAGAATACTCACATGGCACAAATATCCGCACCTGCAGCATGTGGTTGGGTGTATTGCTGCCTCGTGGGTCTAAGCATAACAGGCAAGTCGTCGTAAGTTTCCTTGCATGGATGAATGAAATACTAGGCTTCGCTAAGTATTCAGGAGCGACTCGGCAGAGGGGAAACTCGAGACACACCCGCATTTGAATTCCAGCAACAAATACTCCCGTCAGCTGCACTGTCAACGGCAAAGGATACGCCTTCGCCAGCTCGCAGGCCCAGGTCCAGGCAGAGTGGGTGTCTCCTTCCCGTCGCTGCCGGAAAAAGAGATCCAGGTCTGGTTTTTTGGATCCGATAAGGTCGTGGACGTTTGCATTTCCCTGCAATGCTTTCCGGGCTCCATCTCGGAAACTCAATATTGTCTTTGACAACATGTCATCCGACTCGGTGTGGTATGGGTCACAACTGAAGATGGGCATGTTGATCTTGCTTAGCTCCACCGCGGTAAGACGTTTCGCTAAGCCAGTCCAAACTCGGTTTCTGCACGTCTGCTGTTCCTGCCCGATACCCGAGGGGGATTTTGGCCCAGCAAGAGAAGGCACCATGGCTCTCTCCTTCGGTCCGGGCGCCGGATGAGAAGTGCCCTGATCGGGATTCCCTCTGCGAACTCTGACAGCATACTCCGTGGTCTCATCGGACTCCTTCGCAAATCTTGTGGACGCTGGACGATCCGATCCAGAGCTGTCGGGCTTGTCTGGCGTTGCCTGGAGGGACGATTCTTCCCTGGAGGTGTCGCTGGAAGAACTCCCCGCCGTCTGGGATGGAGCAGCTCCCGATGGCGGTCTCAGAAGTACATTAACAATCTCCTCGAAGGTGGCGCCCTCTCTAACGGCCTGAATAGCCTCGTCAGCCTCAGAATTCCGGATCAACTCCAGGAGCCGGTCAAGAATGGCTTGTTGTTGTCGTAGTTGCTCGACGTGTTGAACGGTGTTCCGCTTTCGCCGCAGATCGCCATACTTGGAGTCCATGTCGTAAGTGCATTTACGACCAATGTGTTGGCAAGCCGCGCAGGGCTGGAATGCGTTACACTAAATATTTGATGTTTAGCTAGACCCCTGCTTTCCTTTCTCCTTCTGATTCCACCACCGCAGGTCCAAGCTTACCTTTCTTCTCCTTTTTCGGCATTGGTCACAAGCTCGGGTGACGTTCTTCCTGGTCCTACCAGTGCTGGACGGAGTGCCTTCCTCAACAGGAGCTTGACCACCGCTTCCCGCTTGCGACGCGGCGGCTTCGCTGTTAGGGTCCTTTGGGTGAAGTTTGCGCATGACGAATTCGTCCTCGCTGATTGTGTTGAAATATATTTCCTCCACCGAGCCTCAAGCAGACCTTTGCTCGCTTGCTGCGAGAGCCGCTAGTCCTGTTACGTCGATGTGGAAAAGAAGTCCGTCCACCATGGTCGGCTTGCATCGTGGTGAGTCCGGTTGGGCCGCTGATAAACGGCACAAAGGGCGATGGTGGCGGGGAGCTTGGACCACTTAAGAACCCTGGATTTACATCTCCGTATACGTGTAAATCGCCACCCAGCGATTGTCCTGTATATGAGAGTTCAACGGACAAGACGCTGAAAACTGGACAAATTCTATCATGTCTAGATCATTCTGCATCAATCAAGTCGTCATGGCGAGATACAACTTTAATGAGAGGAAACAGTGGGGCTTGTCAGGGTTCAAATGGCTAAGACAATCCGTGGTTGAAATTGCAGTTCATATTCAAGAGACCATTGGGTCTCAAGCGACATGGTGCAGGAAGCGATTCATATATACAATTGAGAGCCGTCACGGCGCCTGGACCATCCACCTAATATCGAATTTCAAAAACTTCCAACACCACAGATCCGAGCCCATCCATGCTTGCCGATGTCCTTAATTCCTCCATACCCAAACTCCTGTTCATGCAAGACAGACCGTCACATTATGCAAACGCCATATCCGTTGCCGTGTTATTTCTTGTTGAAAAAGCTGCTTGCCACGGACCCAAGACCACCAGAGGCAAAGTTCTGGCCGTTGGTGCTCACATCACTGCCATTATCGCGATAACCGTGGCCATGTTTGTTATGTTTGCCCGGCTTGTTTCCGTGTTTCTTGTGCTTCTTTGCGTAGTCCTCGGTCAAGGAACCAAGAATAGCTCCGCCCAAGGCTCCCAAAACACCATGACCGACCTTGTGGCCACCCAAGGCACCTGCGGCGCCACCGGCCGCGGCGCCTAGAAGTCCGCGATCTGCTTCAGGGCCTTGCAGGTTGGTGCTGTTGTTGTAGTACGCTGTATTGGAGCCGCCTTGTTGATAGGAGTTGTCGGCGTAGGAAGAGGCGCGGGTGTCGGGGTAGTAACTTTGAGAGTTTTGATATGCTTGAGGTTGACATGATCCGGAGAAGCCCTCGCTGGGGTAGGAACTCTGGCTGTGGTATTGGTTGTTATAGTCGTAGTTTTGGGAGAAGGCGAGATGTTGATCGTAAGGGCCCGACATTGTTGTTGGTGTATTGGTGATGAAGTGGGCAGATAGGCGTTTGACTGTGATGTGGCGATTGCTTGTCTGATGTTTTGGTGATTGGATGATGGTGAACGAAACGAGCTGGCGAAGAAGGAGGGACAGTATACTTATATAGTTTTGTCTTACCCTTGATGCCTTGATCGACAAGAAACGCTAATGCGAGGAACCCGTACGTGTGCAAGGGGGCCGTGCATTCCCCAGGTCCAACATCCAGTCAGAATACTCGTCGGCCTAACGTCCTTCTCCATCCAACGTCCGAAAGGACCACGCGGACCATCAGAGTTCTCATCATCAAATGTTCTGGAATGTTTCCGAATCCGCGCGAGATGATGGAAGCGATTGACATATCATGACGGGAATGGTTGGGTGTTGGGCTGGAGAGGCGATGGGGGATTTGGGCAGACGGAGACTGACAAGGCTAGTGGCGGGGATATCGATGATGATTGGTTGTGGCGCAGCGAGGCGCAGGCACACCACTGTGCAAGGCTGTGCACCCAGCAAAAGTCTCCGATTCGCCACTTGCCAACTTCCAAGTTCCCCATGAGCCCAGGGGCAACTCACTTCCTTCTTACAAGCTCACCGTCTTCGAAGCGATGAAAATCAGCATCAGAGGATGCGCAATTGGCCTATCCACATTGATGCATCTCCGCACGACACCATGTCCCCGAAACGTCAGGATGATGGAAGCGTCTCTTCTGTGGGCCTCAACCATCGTCTGCATTTGGTGAGTTTGTGCGAGTCTGCCTGATCTCCATGACGTTTCTTGGGTATTTCCGGCTCCCTGCTTCTCCTATCTTGACTTGGCCAGTGTGGAGATCTTCATTTGATTCGACAACCAGTCTCGTGAAACACTCTGACGAGAAGAAGAGATGGGCAATCAACTTCACCATTTGAATCGCTGGACTGAGTCCACTTGGACGAGGGAGTGTGGCTCGCCTCTGGGCACATTATCTGGCTTCGGGGCGGAAGTCTCTTCGTCACCGTGTCCCCTTTGCTTTTGATATCCCTGCGCAGCTGAGGACAGCCGCAAGGCAGAACTGTGGAAGCTGATCCATTTCTGAATATGGATTGAAAACGAGAACGGTACGCGCACTTCTCTTTGGGAGGAACTCCAAGTCGATCAAAATGCATCGACTTTACCCTTTCTGACTTTTACCCTCCGTCTCAGTACGATTTAGGCAGCCCAAGCACCCTTTGTCCGATGTAGTTCTTGATCATCTCTCGACTGACAGGTGCGAGCCGTGGGATCATTATCTCCCTCAAATACCTCTCAACATGATACTCCTTTGCATACCCCATTCCACCATGTGTCATGACGGCTCTCTCACAGGCGCGGAATGCCGCCTCGGCAGCCAAGTATTTGGCCGCGTTTGCATATTCTCCCGTCTCGTATCCTGCATCATACATTCTTGCAGCCTGGTAGATCATGAGTCTGGCGGCTTCAAGCTCCATCCAGCTCTCCGCCAGTGGGTGTTGAATAGCTTGATTCTGCCCAATCGCCCGCCCAAACACTACCCGTTCCCCGGCGTAGAGCGCGGCCCTTCTCAAGGCGGCAAACCCTGTCCCCAGTGCTTCGGCCGCGATCAATATTCTCTCGGCATTCATCCCATGCATGATCATCTTGAAACCGTTTCCTTCCTCTCCGATCAAATCCTCCTTCGGCACCTTCCATCCGTCGAAAAACAGGCTGTTGGAATCTACCGCCGCCCTGCCCATCTTGGGGATCTCCTGTACTTCGACCTGTTTTCGATCAAGATCTGTATAAAACAAGCTTAACCCTTGGCTGGGCTTTTTGACTTCCTCAAGAGGGGTCGTCCTCACGAGGATGAGAATCTTCTCCGCCACCTGCGCTGTGGAGATCCATATCTTCTGCCCGCTCAGACGATAGAAGTTCCCATCCTGGATGGCTCTCGACTGCAGCCTCAAGGTATCCAAGCCAGTATTCGGTTCCGTGACGCCGAAACACGCTCTCTCCCTCCCTTCGATTAACGGCACCAGCATCCTCTTCTTCTGCTCCTCCGTCCCAAACTTCCTCACCGGTTCCAGCCCAAAGATATTCATGTGCACGGCACTCGCACCCGCGTATGCTGCCCCTGATTCCGCGATCGTCTGTACCATTACGGCGGCTTCTGCGATCCCTAAATCGCTTCCCCCGTATTCAGAGGGCATGCAGATGCCTAGCCAGCCATCCTTGGCGATCGCCTGTTGGAACTCGGAGGGGAAGCGGTGTTCGCGGTCGGCGGTGAGCCAGTATTCATCCCCAAATTTAGCGCACACTTTGCTTATAGCTTCGCGGACCGTCCGCTGGGAATCTGTGAGATCCGGATCATGGAGTTGAAGGTACTCCGTACCGCGAGCAGCAGCCCGGTGGGTTGTGGAGAATGCCGAAGATGGTGAGCGTGGTGGTGGAGAGCAGTATGCTTTCTGTAGCGGTCCTATCCTCACCCTCCTTCCGATCCCGTGAAGTAGGTTCGTTACCGCTCTTTTAGAAGCCATATCGAAAGATCGAAGCGACGTATCATGTGCCAGATATTCCAAGCTTCTGTTCTCAAACCTCCCACCTCGTCACTTTCAACGGAGTGCTCACGGCCCTCGTCAAAACAATGCAGATTGACAAAAAGATAGGATTCCACGTCAGAAAAGCATTGATGAGGGAACTACTTCGTCGGTCCCTACCACCCAGGACTAGGCGAAAACGCAGCTGCTGAGTCTCGCCGGTACAAGCTTCTGTCAGCAGTTAGACACTAGGATGGAAACCCTGTGTGCTCTGGCTTACTTTACGAGCTGTTTGTGCGGATAGTTGACCTAGGTACTTGCATGGGGCTGCCTAGGTCACTTAGGTGTACCCCCGCATACAGCCTCGTCAGCCTCGGTCCATATATTGCTTACCCCAAGCCCTCCTGTTAGCCCACCCAATGCGCACATTCGTGTTCAAAGGGAAAAGCCAGTACATAACAGCAGAGGAGTTGAGCAGGGGACAGTCCAGTGACCACCTGAAAATTCACCTTAGTCTCCCCCAGTAAGTCTTCTGAGAAGGGACAAAAAAGGAAAGAGAAGAGTGGAGTGTGTGCCTCTGTGGATTCGATGGTTCGGCCACAACAATGACAATAAGACCAGCACGTCTGTTCCGACGGCAGGCGTTGGCAAAGCTCCCTTCTGGAAACTGGACAAACTATTCTTCAACGTCATGGCTGCCTATACGAAGATCACTGTTCACTACTCCCAGCACGTCAGCCTCCCACAAACAACCACCCAATCGTCTCCCCCTCCAGGGCCTCAAGATCCTCGACCTCACGCGCGTCCTTGCCGGGCCCTTCTGCACGCAGATCCTCGCAGACTACGGTGCGTCGGTCTTGAAGGTCGAGCAGCCCGGGATCGGCGACGAGACGCGGCAATGGCGCACGCACAACGAGTCCCAGAAGTGGAAGGACCAGTACAAGCTGATGAGCCTGTACTTTGCGGCCGTGAACCGGAACAAGAGGTCCGTGACCGTCAACTTCAAGCACGAGAGGGGGCGTGAGATCGTGAGGAGGCTCGCGAGAGAGTGGGAGGGCGGCGTCGACGTTGTGGTGCACAACTTTTTACCCGGCAAGATGGAAAGCATGGGCTTGGGGTACGAGCAGTTGAAGACGGCCTTGGGCGGTGATGCCGGCGAGAAATTGATCTACGCCACCGTTAGTGGGTATGGTCCCTCCGGCCCCAGTGCGCAGAGAGCCGGTTATGATGCTATTGCGCTGGCCGAGGCCGGGTTGTTGCATATCACCGGCCAAGAGAGCGGGCCTCCGTCAAAACCTGGCGTTGCAATGGCTGACTTGTGCAGTATGATCCCCTTTCTCACAGACTGTTTCCTTTTCCTAACAAACTTCATTGTCACAACCCCCCCAAAAACAACATTGGTGGTGTAGGCTAACCAAGGTTCGTAGCGGGGTTGTATACCCATGGTGCTATCCTTGCCGCCTTGTATCAGAGGGACAGGACTGGAAAAGGCTGCTTGATCAACGGGAGTCTGTTTGAGAGTAGCCTGAGTCTGCTCATTAATGTTGGATTGGCGAGTCTGAATCTGGACCTTGATAAAGGTCCTGAGCGAAGGCGAAGAGGAAAGAGACTAGGTTTAGAACATCCTAGCTTGGTACCCTATGGAGGGTTTGAAACGAAGGACAAGAAGATGATGTACGTGGCGGCGAATAACAACAGACAGTGGAAAGGTTTTTGTGGACGCATGGGGATTGCTGGGTTAGGTGAAGACGAGAGATTTAGCACGAACGACGGGCGCGTTGAGAATAGAGAGGAGATCAATCGGATTTTGCAGGAGAAGTTCCGGGAAAAGACGAAATATGATTGGATGGTTGTGTTCGAAGGGAGTGGATTGCCATATGGGGCGATTAACGATGTGGTCGAGGCATTGGAGCATCCTCAAGCCCAAGCTCGTAATATGGTGTTCGATGTGGAGGATTTTGAAGCGGCAAGAGATGGGGTTCTCAAGTTGATTGGACCCGCCGTGAAGTTTGAGGGAGCACGAATGAATGTGAGGCTGAAGCCACCGCTGTTGGGCGAGCATACCGAGCAGGTCTTGGGAGGGCTTGGATATGCCACTGCTGAGGTCGCCGAGTTGAGAAGGGCTGGAATTGTCTGACCAAGAGTGATGGGTTTGGACAGGTAGATATAAATATAGATCGAAAGAGAATCGAAACGGGTAAATTTGTTCAGAGACCATCGTGGAGATCAGATAGATCTAGTCTTGTTGTGATGATAGTACAAGGACAATCCATTTCCTCACCACTGGAAAATGTACAGTGCTTTGATATTTTTGTGATGCTTGAACCGCTTCTACACCAACGACCCCTGGCGCCCAACAAACACGCATCAGTGTGCATCGGGTTGGGCGCAAATGTAAGTGACTGCTTGGTCGACTTTGAGGCTATCAGCGGCATCCATAGAAAGGTGTAGTTGATATACTTACCACTGTGAATCGCATCAGCCTCCTTGTCCGGAATCTCAATGCTGAACTCTTCCTCAATGGCCATCACGACCTCGACCGTATCCAAGCTGTCCAACCCAAGATCATTCTGAAAGTGTGCCGTGCCGCTGATCTGAAGTGACGCGTCAGGATAAGGCCAAACTCACGTCACAGGATCAAGTTACCTTTGTTGCATCTGTGACCTGCGAGAAGTTAGCAATTGAATGACCACGTCCAGATGTAGATGCGCACTTTGTCAAAGTTCTTCAAAAGATCCATTATCCTTCCTTGCACCTCCTCTTTCGACAGGCCGGCAGGCGCTGAGTAGTATCGTATGCTTGGAATAACGAAGGAGGGAGTAACTCGTGATGACTGTAGCAGGGAGGTAGAGAGTCGAGATCGGAAAGCAGGTAACTGTCGGGGGACCTGTGTCCTTGTGGCTGCATACAGCGCTCTTGCGGCGCCTGCCCGAATCATCTTGACCTTGAGAACTGAATGGGATGGACAGAAGTAAAAGGAGAAGAGCAATCCTGGGGGGAGGCGGGAAGAAGCCTTCACTAGTTGTAGGCAAATGATTGAATTTCTGGATGGAGATGGTAGACGATTGCAGCGAAAGCTTCGGAGAGGGAAGAGCTTGTGTTGGTCACGTGAAGGCAGCCAATCATATCGCTGTCAATCATATTACAGCATCAATGACCTCCTCTCGATTACATCCTGTACAACGTCTCTTCTCTTGCGCTCGCCACACACCGTCAATCCCAGACTGCGACTTGTACGGACGATGGCGTCGTCAGTTCTTCCAGCATCGCGGCTCGTTGCCAGGCCATTGTCAGCATTGTCAGCTTCATCAGCCATCCTACGACAAGCCGAACGATCGCCTTTCTTTCGTGCTGCGACAGCTCAATTTCACTCTTCAAGTCCCAGAAATGCCTTACCTTCAGGTCCCCCGCCGCAAGGCTACAGACTCCCACGACCAAAAAGATTCTATGAGGGCGAGGGGGTGATGGACAAAGCTAGCAATTATTTTCTTCTCACCGAGATGCTGAGGGGAATGTATGTGGTGTTAGAACAATTCTTCAGACCACCGTATGTCCCGGCAATCCGTTGACGGAGGTTGAAATAACTTGAGAGAGCTCAGCTGATATTGAGGTTACAGTTATACAATCTACTACCCGTTCGAAAAAGGGCCTATCTCACCACGATTCCGAGGCGAGCACGCATTGAGGCGCTATCCCTCTGGCGAGGAAAGATGTATCGCCTGCAAGCTCTGCGAAGCCATCTGCCCCGCCCTAGCCATCACAATTGAAGCCGAGGAAAGAGAAGACGGCTCGAGAAGAACTACTCGTTATGACATTGATATGACAAAGTGCATTTACTGCGGGCTCTGCCAGGAGAGCTGCCCGGTTGATGCTATCGTCGAGACACCCAATGCTGAGTACGCAACAGAGTACCGCGAAGAGCTCCTGTATAACAAGGAGAAGTTGCTCGCCAATGGGGATAAGTGGGAGCCTGAATTGGCTGCTGTGGCAAGAGCGGATGCACCTTACAGATAAAAGTGTTACTGGAAAGGCTCGTTGCGCTCATTCTCAAATTGTACATAAGCTGTGAAACAGCATGAAGGAGCAAAGTGGCCTGGCAGCGAAAGTCACGTAAATTGCGTTTATCCAACAGAGGCCGTTTTCATGTGCTTTGGTTCTCCATTATTCAAATAGCCTAATTTGACAAACTCTGCGCCTGCTGAGCGGCCTTGAACTGGAATTGGAATGGCTATAAGATGTGTTCCTACCGCACGGTCTCCATGGCAAAAACCCGGTTCCATATATCATCCCAACGCGCGCATCGTCAACTCAACTCTGGACACTCGTGTTAACTGTGATGTTCGCTTCTGACGAAAAGGAACGAAGAACTTACACTGCAAATGTACCCGCACTGACAGGCATAGCCCTCACCAATGTCGGCCCGATACCCTTCCAAAATCCTCTCATCCCGTCGACCTTCCACGTTTGCGCAAAGCAATCTCTCATGGTCTTATACCTTTGCTCCTTCCCAAACCCGTCGCTCTGCATCTTACTCTTGACCACATCAAAGGGGTAACTGGCGATCCACAGCGCTTCACCAGCAAGTCCCCCGTAAAAGGCTACTTTTGGAGAAGAAATATCTTCGCGGCGGACGTTGTTGCGTTTTTGGTCTAGGGCCATCAGGTATTCGAAGGTGAGAAACCAGACACCGTAGGCTTGTGCTTCTCGGTATAGTGTGACCGCTTGGCCACGGTAGAGGCCCCGTAGGACGCCTTCGTGCGCGGAGAGCTTTTTTATACAATCTAAGGGTCCGTTGTAAAGGCGGGCAGCACCGTGCGGTTGAGTCTGTAGACGGATACGCACATGTTCGATGGGGCCAGAGAGAACAGAGTTGGTTACACCGGCAAACGCTCCTGCCAGGTAGTATTGGCCGTATGATAGATCTGTTGGATGATTGGCGCGGAGGTTTTGTTCCTCGAATGCTCGTCTAGCATAGTGGAAGGCGCCAAACTGGACGGAGACACAAGCCCCAATGCCAATCAAAGGAGTGAGTGTGCCTTTATAGAACGCCAGCGGTCCTTCGTTCTGCAGGATTGATGATGCACATGATAAGGCGCTGGGGTAGGTGGTTGTTGTCTGAAGACGGACTTTGACGATATCTAGGAAACCATTCATGAGATACTGCTGAGCAGAGGCGGAAAGGCTATAGTCCTCAGAGCTTACCGAATGGTTGACCTGGGATAGAAGGTTAGTGCATGGTTGAGAAAAACTAACACAGCCAGAGCTGCCGAACTCGCCAATCAAAGTCGCCTCTTTGAAGCAATTGGCAAGGATATTCCAATCCCCGAAGCGTCGTTATAAAGACCACAGCAAAATCAATCGCATCCAAACTCACCTAGCAGAACCTGGGCGACACCACCAGCAGCGCCGGCAAACAGATCTTTGGCGGTTCTCACCCAGCTGGTGTTTCCAACCTCATGTGCCTCAATTGCTTCGGCGCTATCCGCCATCTTCTGATTCTTCTGCTCAGTCGATCCCCTCAGCAGAGGCTCACCTCATTTCGACAAGATATGAAACTACAGGTACGATTTCAGTATTGAATTCTTTTTCCCGTAGGGCACAACTGGGCACGCCATTCGCTAGCCTCCGTCGGTCGATACTCCGTCGAGGTCGCGGCCTTGGCCGCTGATTCGTGATTGGCTCTATGGTCTCGATTTGTGCTGAAGGGGTGAATGTTCGCTGTGGTGTCCGACAAGGTAAATACAAGTCAGAATGGCATTCAGTGTATATTTGTCGGTCATGTACAGCGGACTGGGCACTCAAATCCAATGCAGGCTGGTGAAATTGAGGTGTGCCACAGCATGTCGTCAATTAGAATTGCGCTTGATGTGGTTTGTGCGCCACAGTATGCGTCTGCGCTTTGATAACCTGTGCTTCCCCCGAATGGGATCCGCCACCAAAAAAAGTTATAGATACGAAGACAATGCGCCGTGTCTCCTGGTGAACTCGGTACTGAGACTAAATCATCGACTCGTGTAAGGCAACGTCGACTCAGCATGCGCAGGGCTGTGACGCAGAAGGTACGTGCAACAATTATTCTCCATTCCGCATTTTGCGAGACACTGACTGGTTGGTGTTAGCTCCTACAGGGTCAAGATATCTGCTTTTTCTGCGCCTTTCGATATGCTGTCGAGTCTCGACATGTCAACCCGCTTCAACTTCAGCGCCGCTTCTATAGGCCTGCTGCCCCATCAAAACATCCGGCTGGAGCTGCAGCCGCCCGTATAGAAGAAGAGGACGATGATCTCCCTGCGCCAGTGGTGCCGGTGAGAGAGCTTTTGGGCTGGAAATGTCGCTGCAATCATATCAACAAGCCTGCAAGGTCGGAGTGTACGATATGCTTGAGTCCTCGTCCACAAAGACCCGAAATGGTCTATACGGACCCCAGTCCTTTTTTTCCGCCGCCGTCGCCTCCTCACCCTCCTCTCTCTTCATCGAGTGATTCACCCCGAGTCGGCCACTTAGGCTCCACGAGTGGAGGCTCAGTGTCGGAGATCCTTTCCCGCATTCAATCGGAACCCCGAGAAAGATCGCGCGATGAACCTCCGCTCAACTCACGATCGCGCCTTGGGCACTCACAACGCCAGGAGCAATGGTCCCCGATGAGCAGGGGTCGGAGAGACTGTAATAATAACGTTGCTGGCGAAAGAAGTAGCAGGAACAATATGTCTCCGCGCGAGACCCCCGCCGGGTCCCAGCGTCCACTTTTCAGATACTCGAATCAGCGGAAGCCACCTGCAGAATCAGGATTGGGAAATATTGATAATCGCAACGGAGTTAAGAAAGAGCCTGGAGCCTCCTCGCCATTATCGAGGATAGGTAACGCTCTGAAGTACCGCGGGACCGAGAATCCGACATCTGGAGAGCCACGGCGGTCGAGAGGTTCTGCGGCAGGAATTGGATCACCTGCAGAGAGAGTCAGCCGAGAGACTCAAGCACTGAGACCCATGAGACGAGACTTCCCCAGGCGACCCCCCCAGGGATCTGGGGCAGGCGGAGACCAAGGTGCTAGGGTTGCTCGAGACAACACCTCGGTCTGGCGACCTGGATCGGCTGGTACTCCCCAACGAGCACTCGACTCAAGAACGAGTCGAGACAGACGTGTAAAGAGAGTTCCTGAAGGGTCGGAAGAGCCAGCCATTCCCGATGAAGAACCTGCTACACTGGTAGAGACCGAGCTTCCAGAGGGTGCGGAAGACGAGAGGCGCAGGCGAAAGCTCGTGGGTAGCAAAGACCCCGACAGGAGAGCTCGACTTTACGAAATCGAGGATGAAGAGCCAGTTCAGGTTGCACGAAAAGTTAAACTTCCTACCGCGAGGAGGAGCGGTATTTCCAGGGCAGGTTCGTTGGACTTCCATTTTGACCCAGATCTGGCCGAGGAATTTTCCGATGAAGGGAAAGCAAGGCGGAAAAAGAAGGGAAAGCAAGCAAAAGCGAAGCAGCAGACGCCAGCAAGACCAGAGATAATCTTGCCGGAGTTCATAAGTGTTGAAAAGCTCGCACAGGGACTTAAAGTGAGGCTATCGGACTTCATTGACAAGCTTGAAGAGGAGGGATTCGAGGGTGCTAGGTACGATCACGTTCTGGACTCCAGCACATCCGCCATGTTTGCAGAAATTTACGGCTTTGAGGCGATTGTCAAAACCATTGATGACACTGGCGATATCTTCCCCCGCCCTCCAGCAGAAGACTCCTCAGTGTTACCGCCTCGACCCCCAATTGTCACCATAATGGGTCACGTTGACCACGGAAAGACTACTATTCTCGATTACTTCAGGAAGGCGAACGTGGTGGCTACAGAGCACGGAGGCATTACTCAACACATCGGAGCTTTCTCCGTCACAATGCCCGGATCAGAACGCAATATCACATTTCTCGACACTCCTGGGCATGCTGCGTTTTTGGAGATGCGTCGAAGAGGTGCCGTTGTGACCGACATTGTTGTTTTAGTTGTCGCTGCAGACGACAGCGTCAAAGCCCAAACAATAGAAGCCATCAAGCACGCACGAGAGGCTGGAGTGCAAATTATTGTGGCAATTAATAAGGTTGACAAACCCGAAGCCGACATTGAACAAGTCAAGCGAGATCTGATGCAACACGAGATCGTTGTGGAAGACTTTGGTGGTGAGTATCAAGCTATTCCAGTGAGCGGAAAGACAGGCAAGGGCATGGGAGACTTGGAGGAAGCCATTCTCACTTTAGCTGACGTTGCCGACTTCCGCGCCGAAACCGATGGACCTGCGGAAGGCTGGATCATTGAAAGTAAAGTTGGCGCCACGGGTCGTGTTGCTACCATTCTTGTGCGTCGTGGAACCTTGAGACCGGGCGACTTTATTGTCGCTGGTACCACCTGGGCTCGTATTCGAACCCTACGAAATGATTCAGGTGCATTGATTGATGCTGCACCTCCGGGCACACCTGTCCAAATTGATGGCTGGCGAGGAGAAGACCCTGAGGCAGGCCTGGAGGTGCTGCAGGCCGAAAATGAGCAACGAGCAAAGGAGGCGGTTGGAGTGAGAAAAGAACGCGAGGAAGCGGCTTGGGAGATGGACAATATGACGGCAATCAACGCGACACGCGCAGAGGAAGCTGTAGCTCGCACCAAAGTCCTCGAATGGGAGAAAGAGCAGGGATACCTGTCTATGGGATACAAAAGGCGTCCCAAGGACAATGAAGGTTGGATCGAGAAAGAGTCTTCGGGCCCTCAACTTGTCCATTTCGTCGTCAAAGCCGACGTGGCAGGCAGCACAGAAGCCTTGGTTGCTGCTGTTGGTGGAATTGGCAACAACGAGATTCGGGCAAACATTATTCACAGCGGGACGGGCGGCCTGACCGAGTCAGACATCAAAATGCTGGCTGCGACCGGCGAAGTTGCTTATGCAATCTCATTCAATCAGCCCATCGATAATGACATACGACAACTCGCAGCGGCCGCCCGGATACAGATTCTTGACCACAACATTATCTACAAGGTCACCGACGATGTCACCGAGAAGGTAAGCGCAGAATTGCCTCCAATTGTGACTCAGCGCGTCTTGGGAGAAGCAGAGGTTGGAGATATCTTTGAAATCAAAATCAAGAAAGGAACAATGAAGATTGCCGGCTGTCGAGTGACCAATGGGACTATCCGCCGCTCGGAAAAGATCCGAGTCTTGAGAAAAGGCGAGGTGATTTACACTGGTAAGTTGTGTTCCAGGATCAAGGTTGCCAGGTCGACTAACGAAACTCCAGGCATGCTTAACTCATTTAAAAATATCAAGAAGGATGTTACAGAGATGCGAAAAGGCTCCGAATGTGGTATGGGCTTTGAGAACTGGGAGTCATTCGAAGTGGGCGATCAGATCCAGTCATTCGAAGAAATCAGCGAGAAGCGAGCCTTGCATTAGCGCCTGTGCTCCGTCTAGGCAGGACGATTCTTTCCAGAAGGAAGCTATATGGAGCTGGCCACAAAAGCAAAGATGAAACAAAACTGTGGAGCTGGCGGCTCTGCACAAGGCCGCAAGGCTGGCGCCCTTTTCCACATGCACTCCCAGCCAATCAATGACCTCTCTTCAGTCGGTCTTGGCACCAACTCCGCCCCACCAACATAGATCTTCAACCAGCTGAGCACCAACCATTCCGGTCTCTGTTCTTTGTCAGAAACAAAGGCCACTTCCTAAACAGACGAGTTGCGATCACGACTTTTGTTTCACAGCATAGAAGAAACGTGTTTCAATGAACAGACATAGAACCAGATTAGACACCGGGAGGCCGCCTTCGAGGAGTCGCCAATTTGTTTACGCGCTGGATCATGATACTTCAGAAAGGTCTGTCGAAGAATCTGGGAACACGTTGCACACACATCAAATCTTCTCTCATACATCTGTATCTGTTTGCATAGCCGAGGAGTTCCGCGCATATATAATATTTCCTCTGCACGCAGGCGTCATTCTAACAGCTTGATTAATTCTTCTCCTCCACCAACTACACATTCAATACCCCAATTACCTTGGCTTGAGATACTGCTGGACAGTTATGCATACCGTCATCTCCATAGTTACCCTCCTTTTTCTGTTGACACCAATCTTGGCTGGTCCAATTCGGAGGTATGTCCCCGCACGCGTTGTCTTTATTCGTTGGCATATTGACTTCCTTGCAGGCCCGACAATGTAATACGCAGATTGAATCAACCACAGAAACGCTATGTAGTAGACAACCTAGTCACAGTAACCCATAGACGGCCGAGGAGGCGACAAGCTCCCACAGATCCTGCGAACAAAGCGGCCGCAACGCAAACAGAGTCGAGCGCCAACCCGTTTGCGACCCAGACAGGGACTGGAACGGAAAACGGAGCGGTCCCTGCTGTTGGCGTGGGAGGAGACAATACCAGCCTGCTCAGCCTGCTGACGCAAACCACGATCGAAGTAGCCACTCAGACGGTTGCATCTAGCGAGGCGACCGCTTCAACAACAGACAACTCCGCCCCCGAACAGCCCGCAACTTCCAACAGCTCGGGGTCCTCAGATAATACGTCGGAAATAGTGGGCTCTGGAACCGCTATTCAACCCAACGCGGCGCAGACCGGTGCACAAGAGCAATCGACCTCAACCGTCACCGTGCAAGCCCAAACAACTGTCTTCCAGACTGTATTCGTTACTGCAGAAGTCACTGCATCAACTACTGTCTCTGGCGCTGGGATTGCAACAACGTCGACCACCCCGTCAGGCACCGTTGCAGAAGCTTCCCCTCCTGCGTCGAGTACCGGAGCTGGAGATCAAGGAGACCAACAACCTGCCGCAGCTGTAACAGTTGTCTTCGTCACTCTCAGCCCAACCTTCACTGGTCCTATAGCTGGATACACGACACTCACACCAGACGCGAACGGTAACGCCGCCAGCACTACTACCACCGATCAACAAAAGCTGCCATCGACAACCGCGGCTGCTAGCACCATGACCCCAATCCCTCCAGAACCTGCGACAGCCGCAACTACTTCACCATTGTCGCCCGCCCCCGAACCAGCTGCTGAAACAGTCCCAATTACATCAACTACCACTAAACCAGTGGATTCATCTCCAGCATCGCCTTCTGGTGCAACAGCGACTTCGGCAACGGATGGGTTGGCTGTCGTTCCAGTGACGCTCAACCCCACTCAAGCTCAGATTACGGTTACCGAGACCGTGACTACCACTGTTACTGCGCGATAGTGCATGGAGAGAGAGAGAGAGGAAGGGAGGGAAGGAGGGTTAACTTGTATCATACAGGACTGTATATAGTTGTTGGGTTAGAGTTGCGTGCCCGTTTAGAGCTGAATGCATAGATGAGTGACTGCATTAGTCGTAAATGGAGGGTGAGATTATCTTGGTTGAAGAACCCTCCCAGGACCAGTCTCGCTACATTACGCACAGGCTTGATTGAAGCTTTGGGAGAACAGAAAATTGTATTTCTATATATCTATCTATATGTGATTGATTACATGTACTGGCACAGACCCCTCTAGCTCTCCGTCTGCAGACACTTGTCAATATGGGACGCAAAGCATTCCGTAGCCTAGACACACTTAAATAGCCTCGGGGCGCTTGTCAGCTGGGGCGTTCTGAAGACCTTCAGCGGGGGCCTTTGCCTGACGGGCCCCTCTGTCAACTACACAAGGGATAGCAAGACAAGATAGTGGTCTAGGGTTCCCGATCATAGAAGCTCTAGTTTATAAGGAGGTGTCACAGAACCCGTCCACACCTGACAGATTTAACCAGATCGTCGAGGGCGTTGCAACTTGGCCACCCTAACACCTCTACTGTTCCTCTTGATAATTATTGGTTCGAGATAGAGTTTTTCTCTCATACCTTGTAGAGTAGATTGTGAAGGCCGCGATTTGTCAGGAGGACCTGGTCGAGTAGACTTTGAAGACAGAGGCCCAAACTCTTTAGGAGGACCGGGTTGAGTGGATCGTGAAGTCCCTAACTTATCAATAGGGGCTGGTTGAGGGATTGTAAGGGCACTGGCTTGTCTGAAAGATGAACAGGTCGAACGGCAGTCGCTGAATGTAATATATATTGTTATCGGTGTGGAATAGCATCTCGCTGCCGACTGGAGCCTCGTGCCAGCCCTGTGCCAGCCTCATACTATCAAGGGCATTGTTGAGGTAATTAGAGGAGATTCTACATAAGCCAGCTCAAACTGAAAACCGGAGCCGTAGATTTTGACAACCCAATCTCAACGGTGCCATCGGCGCTCTTTATGCTCGTGGGAATCGTCTCGCCTTTTCTCTCGAGCACGATCTTGGGTCGTCCTTCGGTGGCAGGGTCAGGCAGCTTGTAGAAGAGCCTTCCAGATCGACTCAGGAACTGCTCAAGCCGGTCCTGTGTGACTTCATCTTCTCCAAGAAGTCCCCTTTCAATTGCCTCTTCAAGTGCTAGAACCACAAGTTGAGTAGCGAAGGGCTGTGTGAACACGCCCGCTGGTACTGCTTGGCGGTTTTGCTTGGACACTAACGGATGCGGTGCGCTATCACTACCGCTGAAGGAGGCAGGCAAGGTCAATAGAGAAAGATCATACTTAAAGGACGCGGGATAACTCACAAGAAGAATTTAGGGTCGCCGCTACACACCGCTTTGATCAGGGCATCTCGGTCTGATGGCTTTTTTGGAATAGGTTTACAGAAAGCCAGAGGATCGGTCTGACTATGATCACCCGTCAGATAGAGGTGATGTGCCGTTATCGTTCCTGCAGTATCCATGGAATTAGGAGAAGAGCAGCTAAAGGAAAGCAAGGTTGGAACGACATGGAAATCAGGTCATCACGATCGGCCGGAGAGAAACGAACCAGCGACTGATGGACCGCAAGCCCGTACGGCATCTAGAGCCGCGGCGGTGGAACAGTGCTGCAACGTGTTATTATAGTATTGTACAGTTGATGATCATGATCTGCTCACCTCGAGGACACATCGAAGACGTGGAAATTTCTGGTGAAGCTTTTTAAGCTCCGGCAGGAAGGCTTCTTCGAGAGAAATATCGTGGCTGGGTAGAGGTCCCGGCCACTCTCCGTGCAAATTAAGTACAAGATCGTGGTATTCCATAGCAGCGAAGACGGGAGAATAGGCGTTCAGAAAATCCGCTGGCACACCTGACTCGGAATTTGTGGTCACGCCTAAAACGTATTAATACTCCAGCATGGAGGAAAGGAGCCTCGTCATTGATGCCTTACCTTGAGGATACATTTTGACTCCCGTGATACCTGCGGCTGCTGCCTCAGCGATTACTTCGGGGGTAATGGAGGGATGAAGCTGGTATCGTTAACCCCGTGGCAACCTCGCAACCACAGAATACCCACGTAGAGTGACATGAGATAATGGACCCTAGGTTCGATGGACCGCAGACGACACCGATATTCTAGAGCTTGGGCTATACCTGTGATGGGCGGTTGTAGGTTTGGCTGTATACCAGTTGAGCTAATGCGAGAGCGAGCCATTCGACCATCTACATACCATGACAAAGACCGTATCCACTCCCCCCTTCAAAATCTGGGGAACCACTAATTCCATGACCTGGAAGCAGGGGAAATCATTTCAGTCTAACCCTATGTTGGTGGCTGGTGAGGACTAACTTGGTCTTGCCGCAAATGAACATGCATATCCGCCGACGGCGGTAATTCTAGACGTCGTACATCTCTTAGCCGCATTTTGGATGGAAATCCAGAGAAGAAATCACCAGGATGATGAGAAGTGTGCAGCTTGAAGCTCTCTGCCTACTTGGTACAGGAGGGATATTACAGGTCTCTCTGGTGAGGGAGTCGGAGTTTTCTGCACTAAACCCCGTTTGGAAACCAGCAAACTGCCCAAGTGGGCAAACGTCTTGGCAGGTGGCTCGGTGGGGACCAAAAGACGTGGTCACGTGGAACTCACGTGACCAGCGCCGCTTTTAACTTTGACTGGCAGGCTAGCCAAGACATGCAAGGACCGTTACGCCAAAAACCCCTGTGTAATTTACCAAACAGTATATCAGGTAGTTGGACAGGTCCCATGGCCCTGTGAGCATCCTTCATGTCCTCCATGGAGTCACATAAACACGACCCGCCTCTTTCTCTGCTCGATGATAGCTTCTGCTCCTGCGCCAGACTAGAATTCCACGCTGGTACGTGGTGTCGGATGTCGCTGACTGATACGCTGGTGTCGAGGATGCCCAGGGCATTTACCAACGCTCTCCTAAGCGAGTCTGCGGAGGGGCCTTAACTGTCCTCAAATCTTGTGGATTTTCTTGAGGCCTGAACGACGGCACACACGTTCGATTCTTCTGCATCAGGCTAACTTCCCGTACGCTGGCTATGCGGAATGGAGGCAGAAGACTCAACATATGCTTTGAGCAGAAGAAGTCACGGGCGTGTACAATGCAGGCGTCAGAAGGTTAAGGTAAAAGGTTCATGGCCTACCTTGGCTATTCTCAGACCTTGGAATAACCACCATTGAAATAGTACGATGAGGGCCATCCAGTTTGTGCTCGCTGCGTGAAGTCTGGCCGAGAATGTGTATATGTGGCACGATACCACTTCCGCAATGAGAGTCCCAGATTCGATGTGTCCGACTACCAACAGCCAATTCATCCAATGCAATCACGAAGCGAAGTTACGTTACAAATGAAAATGATTGTGCTCTCCGCGAAGGTAGAGCAGGGCCGAATGGTGCAGCAGTTCCAACTAGTCCGCTCTCGCTCGGCGACACCAGCCCAAGCGAAACATTACGCCGCACCAGAGTCGCGTGAGCCCGACAGGCTTGCTTTCGCTATGGGAGAGGCACAGAGAACCACTCCTAGGGACTATCAGCTACAGTGTCTGGGGAACTTCATGTCGGAAATTCCATCCCGCATTTGTCACAATCCCGCGCTGGACGCAGCACCGACTTGTCTCTTGGAGAGTCATTCTCGGTTACTCGATACCACCAATTCCTCTTCGTCCTCTCTCTCTTCCCTTGCAAGTCAGGTGCTACCCAGTTCAGAGTGACTGAAGGCCTCACGGGCCTTACAAGAAGTGATCGAGCATCCGGTTCTGGGTATATCGTCCGAGACAGTCTGCACCACCATTCTCATGGCGTACTACGAGGTGAGCCCTCCGAAGCAAATATCCTCAACGGCATTCTAACATCGATATCTTTTCCACGACTAGATGATGATGGCAGAGAAGAGTGGCTGCTTCAGCAGGAAGACTGCGTCCTGCTTCGCCATGGCTGGCAAGATATCCACCTGGAGACGCGCGGGAAGTTCGGATCCGCAATGGTAGACCGATTACTTGTACTGTTCGGCCGCATACCGTCTTTGGTCAGACTGCGAAGCTGGAGGTCCTCTCCACATCTCATTAGCATGGACCAGGTAACAGAATATACAAAGTCGCTGCAACATGGACTTGCCTCCCTCTCCGCTGGGTCTCGGGAGCAGGATGATCCAAAGAACGAGTTCGCCTTCGAATTGGTTCCGTCACAGCACATCGACGAACCGGTATTCCCGACGACATTCCAATTCCAGACCACAGAAGGTGCCGTCTTCCATACCTGGTCCTGGACCGTGTCACTAATAATTGGTGTCTGCATGACCTGTCTCCGCCACAAAGACGATCAGCGGCAGGAACCAGACTTCTCCACCACTGATTCTGCAACACAAAACATTTTGCATATCTTACGAGTACTCAGCTACCTTGAAGCCGCTGGGAGCGCAGTTCCTTCAGTTGCCTCTTATATGCGCCTTCTTTGTCAGCTGTGAGGAGGTCAAGAACTGGATCCTGCGAAAGATCAACTTGCTGGTCAGGGAGTTGCACATTTGCTATACGAGGCAATACCTTGAACTAATATCGACCTCCATACTGGGGAATCTAGGTTGACGAGACTTTCTAATCTGAGGTATAATGATATAGTGGCTGCGATCTTATTTCACTTCCTTCCTAAAAGGTCGGTTTTTTTCATTTTGGTTTTTTTGTTTTTTTCGGGGGGGACGCATTCGTGAAGATTGATGAGATTGCAAATCTTAGTTGACGGAAGCAGGGTTGATATATAGATCAACCATTTCCGTACGCCAAATGATCAGCCACAAAGCAATATCTCCCTCTGACAGCAGCTCCTCTACTTCTATAACCCCCCTTCCCAACCCAGCATGCTGTTGGTGCACCGCTCGAAGTCCTCATTAGTAAAGACCGAGCCACTCCTAGATCGTCTGCAGCTGCACTTGTCTTGCCTAGTTCAAGCCACGTATCAGCGCGCGTTCATTTATATATAGAGTCACGGCGTTTCCCAACTTACATGGACAACTGACGGCTTATCGCCCGGATAACTCGCAATCACCCCCTCCCCGTGTGCCGACAACGAGGTGAACATGTATCTAGACGCGTTCCGATCCTGGGTGATGGGCAAAGGATCAATTCCTACCGCAGTTGTAGGATCCATTTCGTTGTAAGCAAACAGGATGCGCTTCGCCTGGACTAACTCGTCGGGCGTGATGTGGTACTTGGTTTCCACATACTCTTGGGTCGGGGCCACGATGTCGTACAGCGTCTCGCGGGTGTACGGGTCAGTCTCGGTCTGGATGGACGTGGGAACGAAGACGGTCCCGGCGGGGATCTCGTTGGCACTCAACGGGAAGTATTTGCACAGGAGGTAGTTGAATGTTTTTTTACGGGGTAGGGTTGTCGGACTGTGTCGAGTTCCATTCGATGCAGGGATAGGAGGACGGCGGGTAATATGTCATCAGGGTCGCGTTAATGATTTGTGTGGGATCGGTCAGGTGGAGCGTGGTGTTCACTAGCTTCTGTGCGCTGGCTCCCGTTGGGTTTGCGATCGGGTTGTTGTAGCTCCCCTGTGGGATGAGGTATGCTGCAGTATTGATCAATGCCATTATCGTTTGGAGGTCTATGACGGTTTCGGGGACGGAGCACAGATTGAAGTCTTTTGCGATGCTCTGGGTATTGGCTGCTGCGAGGACCCAGTGTCAAGTGACTTCCACAGAAGCGGAACAACCAGAGATACAGGCTTACCGGTTTGAAATCGCTTGTTGAGTACTTCAAAGCGTGCTTCATTTTGTTGGCTGCCGAAGCAGACAAGTCCCTGTAAGTCTGGTTCGCCTGGGTCACTAATTAGCATGTCAATATCACTCCTAGAGTTCTTGTGTTTACCCATTTGAACCATTCGTATCGTTGAGGGTTTTGGTTATTTGATCCAATCGAGCGAAGCGGCGCGGCGAAAGGAATCGCTCCGAAAAAAACATCCGGATGATTCATTTTGAGGACTGTTGTGAGAAATCCGCCATAGGAACCACCCGTGACTATCACCTTGCTGTCCTTCGCCCCAGCGACTGTGTTCTTAATGTGTTGGATAAATTTGACAGCCTCTGACATGACGTTCTCGAGTGTCAATGTCTTGTACCTGTCAATGGGTTGGAGTCATTCAATGGATTGCTGAGACCGAAGAAGCGATGTTCGAGAGTTATAACCAGAGCTCCCAGTTCTGAAGCTCATTCGGGAAGGACAGATTTCTCCTAAGACAAGATTAAGACGCTGTAAATCATTGTGGACAAATCATGGACATACCAGGCAGGCAAAGATGCTGGTCTCGGCTTGTTGGTAGTACAGAATTGGCACCCATGGCTTGAAATGATCGGACACAACCTGATACTGTTGCTGGAAAGTTCCCTAATTGGGCTTTGCATGGTCTATCTGTTGGCTGAAGAACTTGGTCGGAGTCGTGCAATTGGGGCTGAGATTGGCGGCAGCAATGGCGCTCAACGGAAGTGACAATGACACCAGGGACATGATCATGAACCGAGAGATATTGCTGATTCGGCTACCCATATTGAGGGCTGTAATTGGAGTAAAAGCGTGAAAAAGAAACGAGGGCTTGGACCACCTTTCAAATTGTTGCTGTTGAAGAGAAGTTGGAATCGTTGCATGCCGGGCATGATTCTCACATTTTGTATATGGGCATTCACAACGCCAGAGTCTTCTCGGAGCAGGAAACATGATTGGAGAAACAACCCAAAGGAGAGAGGCTCAGCATGCGCTGGTGTCGAGGAATCCACTTCTGGGAGATTGAGATCTTCATGTGTCTTCCAAGGATGTTCAGCCTCAAGATAGAGATGATAGTCGGCTTCCCTGTTTGCAATGGATGGTATCAGAAGACTCGCGGAGCTGAAAAGCTAAGACTAAGATGAAGGACGCTCGAACGACGAATCCCCTCGAAAGAAAAGTGGCGCCGTCTGCAAGCTGTTTTCCTCAATTGCAGTTAAAACAATAGAGGTTACGTTCCATCGGAAAACAGTGGTCTTGCGTCCGTAATCTATACAGTTAGATCTTCCGGAAACAGTAGCTCCCTCGTCGTTATTGAGTCCTCTTCTCCAACCTCAGGTACCGAGTACAACGCAGTCAAATCTATTCCGAATCGAGCAGGGTACCTCACAAGGACGCACTACGCAACACTAAACTGCATCGAGTCATGAAGATCAGCGCGATCCACCGGAAGACTGGCTACATTGGACGCCTTGCTGCGGGCCGGGCCTATGCTCCACTGCGACATGCCCAAAGCCGTTAGCTTACCCATGAATAAATACGAACCATGAACAAACGACCTGGTATTGCCGTCCTTTTGGACCTAGACTGGGATTGCAAAGGGTTTCGGCCCCGAATACAAGTGATTTTGCGGTTCATCCTCACAGTTCTGCGGAACAAGATGGAGCCGCGAGGGGGAAAGTTAGACCCCCCCCTAACCGCTTGAACACTTTCCTCCTTTGGTCCTTGAACGTTATTCAGTGTATGCATTAAACGATCGAGAATCCTCGTGTACCTCATGTGGCCTGATATGCGGCTGACGTGTCTTGATTCCCGGAGAAGATGGGGGTATAATTCAGTATTAGAACCCCAACCGCTGCTCCTCGGCGTAGCACGCTAGCAGGAGAACTTTAAAAGACTCCAAGATCAATAAGCTAAAGGTTCCTTTAGACTACCGGTATCGATGGAGTACACTATTGTGGGGGGGTGAGGACCTCGTACAGGGCGGCAATCACCCTCGTCCCAAAAAGGGGTGAGCTGAATGTCGAAGGACCTTCTCTTGGCGCCAAGGCAGTCTATACGAACACCCACACGGACAAGAGACAAACGGAGTGCTCCTAGAAACGTACTACGAAACACGGTCACTAGTCATGGGTAGCAGAGCGAGGAGAAAAGGCACGTGAAATCACTATCGTTGTAGATACGTTCATAGCGGGGGTGGTGGTATATAATACATACATACATGGGACAAGCCGCGGGAGAGTCGCGCCGCGGTTTACAAGGCGTGACCTCATCTGCTCACCTTTCGTCTTCTCCTCTGCTCCATAGAACTCCATAGATCAACATGACTGTGCAGATACCTGTCCCTTCCCACCTCATCGTGGTCTGCTGCCACGCTATCTACCTGGGCCCGGGGACAGACTCTGCCAACCAAGACGAATCCAACTGGCTGATTGAACCCTTTCAAGCTGGTGAAACGGACACATACATCAGACACATCGAAGCCGGAGTGAAGGAGCTAGCGAGAGGTAGGGAGGATGCAATTCTGGTGTTTAGCGGTGCGGCCACAAAGCCGGACAAGACGCAAACGACCGAAGGGGAAGGTTACTTGGTAAGTCAAATCGGACTCTGTGGTAAATGGTACGAGACGACGCGTACCACAGGTCCCAAAAAAGAAGAATGATTGAAGGTGGGAGGGCTGTTCAAGTGGGCTGACGGGCTAGAACGTTGCTATTGAGCACGACCTCTTCGGTCTGGAGACCTCTCCACCATCACTGAGACAGCGGATCTTCGTCGACCGCTACGCTACAGACTCATATCAAAACATTCTCTGCTCGCTGATCCAGTTCCCTGTCTTCGTTCAACAACTCCGTTCCCGGAACATCTCGGAAGGCGCAACATCATCACCCTCGCGCTCACAGCATACTCTGCCTGTTGCGGCGGCCAAGGAGCAGGAGAGCCGAACCGTTCGAACACCCTTCCCGACCAAGCTCACGATAATCTCCCACTCCTTCAAACGCTCCCGCTTTCTCGAGCTTCACCTCCCCGCCCTCCGCTTCCCGCTTGAATCTACCACGTACATCGGGATCAACCCGCCCTTCAGCCCGACCAAGCTCGAAGAGATCGAGGAGGGTGATCGGCTTCGTGGCTACGGCGCGTGGGAGAAGGACTTGTACGGCACTGGTGAGGGCTTGAGCAGAAAGAGGGAGAAGAGAGGCTGGGATGGCGAGAAGTTCAGAAGCGAGGTCTTGGAGAGGTTTAGCGATGGCAGATTGAGGAGGGATCTGAAAGGTTTGGTGTGTTGGGATGGTGGAAGCGATGGGATGACATTGTGGCAGGGAAGCATCCCATGGGAGTAAGCACGTCGCATTGAGATGTCTGCTTGAGGCAGTTTGATGTAACACGGGATGGTTGGGCAGGGATAGCAGCTTCACATAGAATGACAACCCGATGAACGTGTGCTTGCGGCGGCCGCTGTAGTGGCATGATGGCAGAACACGTCTTCGAAGATAAGGACCTTGCTACAGCCGTAGACGAGTCATCCCCCTTCGTTTTCCATGACACCATGTTCTCATGACATTCACCAAGAATCACACCTGACCGCCCTCAGGGATACGTCTTCTCTCCCGCCATGTCCTGGGTTCCTTCGCGAGCTACCACCCTGATTCAATGCCGTGGCTTGGACTCATGCGTCCAAACATCTATTGCGTTAACAACTGGTGCCCGCCCAAACGCCACTGTTCCTCGCAACATTTCTTCTTAAATGATCCTGTAGAGATCAGAGCCGTCAACCACTACTGGTGGATACAGGTCGCTACCCCAACTGGAAAGGTCCGATGGCGTTGGAGCGCGCAATAGATTCGGAGGAAGTGGGAGAGCAGGGGCTGGAACTGGGGGCGGAACTGGAATCGGCATTGGAGCTGCTGCAACAGGCATGCGAACGTGGGGTGCAGCTACAGCAGGAATTGGGGGTGGAGATGAGCTGAAAATGAACCTGAATAGGGTTTTGGAAGAGCGGCTGGGCGTTGACGGGGCGGCGGCCTCGGAATCTGACCTGGTGGGGGAATTGGATGTGTATGTCGCTGGAGATCTGGAATGGCACCTGGTGCTGGAGAATCACACACCGCCGGATAAGGACCACATGGTTGATATAGCGCATAGCATTGGGCAAGTGATGGACCAGGGATTGGTGCTGAACCTGAACTTGGAACTAGGTTTCCCGGAGGAGGGTATGCGTATGCTGCTCGATATTGCGCTGGAGCTGAAATGCTCGCTGGAAGGAGATTTGCGGTTGAAGTATGACATTCCTGCCATGTCTGATGTGGGACTCCTGGATTTGGTGCAAGATTATACGGGTTTGGCAATGGAATCGGACCGGCCGAAGCGGGAGTGAAGGCCTGGACTGTGGGGTTCAATATGCTCGTCCAAACTTGTCGTTGTGCTGTCCTCTGAGCGGCTTCCGTGTCGCAAGCATATTGAAGAGTATGTATGATTTCGAGGCTGTTGGTAGGTCCCCAGGACTAAGATTGTTCAAGGATTCGTCCAAAAGCTTTGCGTGAGACAATGCGCCACCCAGAATGCAACATATCCTCTCCTCCTCTCTTGCCAGCTGTCGCAGTGCGGGAAAGCCAAGGACCCTCACTCGACTTGAAGCGTTGTACTTCCAAGCGAGCCGTACTTAGACCAGGCTAGTGGAAAGAATTGTTCTCGATTTCAGTGGCTACAGGGGTCGAGACGTCGTACAGACATTTCATGAACTGCTTGTATGTTGCCTCCTGGTCAATAGGAAGCTGAATCCGCGTGTTGGAGAATTTGGCGACGAAGTAGAAGGGTAAGAATGCTGATACGTGAGAAGTCATCTTGGGAGTCTAGCGGAACAGAGTCTGGGCGATATGGAATTTGCAGCGTTGAACGGAAGTTTTCGAATCTTGATGGTTGTGGCCTCTGCTCTGCAGCTGATAATTTATTGACCAGAAGGAATGATATGCTGCAATGGAGTTCCTGGAGTTGTTGAAAGAAATCCATCTTTCGTTGTTGCTGTACAGGAGCAATTTATTTGCTTGATTTGACGGCCATGAAACCTGGGATTTACGGATGTTTGTTTCGATAACTGTGTTAAAAAAAATCCGCGTTTTGAGCGAGATGAGAGGTATTTGCCACCATGGCGTTCAAGCTCCTGATAACCATTATCCTGGTACCATTAGACTGGAAAACCCCTGCAGTGGCCAGGCAGATTTCAGCCTTGTCTTTGTCAGTATCATATTTTGGCCAAAATATTAGTCTCGGAACTCTTCTGTGTCTCGTTCTGATCAAGAACATAGTGTGAGTTGGCATTATTATAGAAGAGCTATGCTTGCTTCGATCAACAATGAATAAAGAACCCACGCAACGAGCGAATGGTGCACTGTCAACAATGGAGAGCAAGACCAATAAGCTTTGCCCACTGTGTCTCACAGATTCACAGCTCATCTCTTTGCGGAAAACTCTTACCCAGTGGGACCAGAACCTCCAATCCGGATCGAACGATGCATTCTATGTCGATGGGCACAACGAGAGGGAAGTTCCGAAGACAAGCGTACTCGATAGATGAGCGCAGGACAAAATGAAATGCCACGCGGCAGAATGAGGCTGTGGTTTCTGAGCCCCTGCTTCTCCTTCTTTGGCAGTTGCCTTACATTCTTTAGTGCCATCAAATAGCCAATTTGAAAATATTCAACCTTTATCAGTGCGCTTGTTCAGTGTGGTTGAGACAGGGTTGACCAAGCTCTTCGCCAGTGGTTGTACTCCGGGCTCACTGGGCATTAAAACCAGTCTATTCCCGAATAGGACTGTATGATCATGTGACAGATTTAGTTCAATTCTGCCCGTTAGGAAGGTAAACAAGGAAGGTTCAGCGATAAAAGTGAGAGACCTGGCTGACATCGGTTTGCGTCGGTCAGCCTTTCCAAATTCCCTCAAATGCACTAAACTCGATTGAAACCTTCGGACTCGAGCTTCAACTCCGGGAAGCGCTGCGTCTCCCATCAAGCGGCGTTTCTGCTCGCTACAATTTCTCAGCACTTTTGCCTTGCCCAAGCTATTTGGTGACTGTATTTCCTTTGCGACTTTTGGTCGCTTCCCTTCATTGACCTCTTCAACTCCTTCTCCATCGACACGGTCTCTGTCAAGATGCTCAAGACTTTGGTACCCAGGACGGGCCGGTCACTCCTCTCAACGAAAGCTCCGCACTTGGGGCCTGCGAACCTCCGGACCGCCCCCAGCTTCCAGATTGTTTCCCAGAACCAGCAAAGAAGGAGGGGTTATGCTTCGGAAGCATCGGACTATGATATTGTGTTCATTGGCGGCGGTGTTGCAGGCTACGTCGGCGCAATAAAAGCTGGTCAATCAGGTCTGAAGGTGCGCATATCCTGCTCTGTGACAGACAAACAATTGAGACCGACTGTTCTGACATCGGGATAGACAGCCTGTATCGAGAAGAGAGGAGCGCTTGGAGGCACATGTCTAAATGTCGGCTGCATTCCCTCAAAATCTCTGCTCAACAACTCACACCTCTATCACCAAATACTTCACGACACCAAGAAGCGAGGGATTGACGTCAATGATGTCCAGCTCAACCTTACCCAGATGATGAAGGCCAAGGACGAATCTGTCCTTGGCTTGACAAAGGGTGTCGAATTCCTGTTCAAGAAAAATAATGTTGACTACATCAAAGGCACGGGATCTTTTGTGGACGAACACACGGTCAAAGTCAATCTGCTCGAGGGCGGTGAGACAGAGGTCAGGGGCAAGAACATCGTCATTGCTACTGGTAGCGAGACAACACCGTTCCCGGGCCTGCAGATCGATGAAAAGAAAGTCATCACTAGCACAGGCGCAATTGCTCTGCAAGAAGTGCCCAAGAAGATGGTGGTAATTGGTGGTGGTATTATTGGCCTGGAAATGGTACTCTAAGCGCACCCGCTCTTAATTGAGACATCCTTTCTAATACGCTTGTAGGCCTCGGTATGGTCCCGCCTCGGCTCCGACGTTACGGTTGTCGAATTCCTTGGGCAAATCGGTGGCCCTGGCATGGACGCGGAAATTGCCAAACAAGCGCAAAAGATCTTAAGCAAGCAAGGTATCAAATTCAAGGTCAATACAAAAGTCACTCAGGGCGACGCCAGCGGTGACGGCGTCAAGATTGAGGTTGAGGCCGCAAAAGGTGGCAAGAACGAATCTCTAGATGCCGACGTCGTGCTTGTGGCCATCGGGCGCCGACCTTATACTGATGGCTTGGGTATTGAGAATATTGGCATCGAGATGGACGAACGCAAACGCGTCGTCATCGACCAAGAATATCGTACCAAGATTCCTCACATCCGATGCATTGGCGATGTCACCTTCGGACCGATGCTCGCACATAAAGCCGAAGAAGAAGGAGTCGCCTGCGTCGAGTACATCACCAAAGGCTATGGTCACGTCAATTATGGCGCCATCCCATCAGTCATGTATACGCATCCCGAAGTTGCGTGGGTGGGCCAAAACGAAGGCGAGCTGAAAGCCGCCGGCGTGAAATACAGAGTAGGCACCTTCCCCTTCACCGCCAACTCGCGTGCCAAAACGAATCTCGACACCGAAGGAATGGTGAAATTCCTCAGCGATGCGGAAACAGATAGGATTTTGGGCATTCATATTATTGGACCGAATGCGGGAGAGATGATTGCCGAAGGCACTTTGGCGCTGGAGTATGGTGCGAGCAGTGAAGACGTGGCGAGGACATGTCATGCGCATCCAACACTGGCCGAGGCATTTAAGGAGGCGGCGATGGCCACATATAGCAAGGCGATCCATTTTTAAGCTGATCAGGCGAGTGGCACGATGCGGCGGGGGAGTTGTGGATGTTGTGCTGAGAGCATTGGCATTATCAGTCTGTCGTTGACGAAGCGTGTCTGGGACAGCAGGCAGGAAATTGGCAGCACAAGCATTGTACTTACCTAGGCATGTAAAAAATTACTCGGATGCCCCGTTGGGACTGACTCCAGTCCGTGACCTTTTTGAAGGCGCCGGTTCGGGATTTCGTCCTCTGATTTTTGGGTTGCCGTCTTACTCTACAAGTATACCGAGCATGTTTCATGGGCTGTGATATGTCACGGCGCAAGATTCCTCCCCGGACCATCAAGACAGATCCAAGACAATACCGAGTCTGGCCAATCCAGCCTCTTGTTGGTAGGGTGAATAGGCCCGGCGACGAACCCCCGTACAACGTACCCACGACAGTCCTCTCGTCCAGCCTCGCGCAGCCTTGCGTGAGAATATGTAGTCTGCTCTTGATTCACTGTCGCCGCCGCGGAATCTCCAAAAAGGAAAGGAACAGGCGTGTGCCCACATCCATGTCTGTGGCCTCATCGATATGTACAGGGTAGTCGTGTCCATATAGAGTACGGAGTACGAGGTAATACTTTGTAGTCTAATCTAGTCTAGACTCACAGTCGTTTCATGAGGCGGTTGTTGGTCGCTCCACCTATACACACCAGACATATATATGACCAGTTCTTTTCCCATTCCCCGGCTGGTCCTTTTGCCGTGTGTGTTTGTCGAGTACTCCCAAGCGAGGTGTCACACGCAGGTTGCCAGGGTACATAATGACAGGAGCGAGATAGGAACCCGTGTGCACTTCTACTTGTAGGAGGCACCAGAGCCACCGTGCTAACCCAATGCGCTATTTCACTGAGAGCCCTGCATGTTGCTGGTGAGCGATTTATGTGCGAGGTGCTGGATATAATTTGCATTTCTCGTTCATTATTGCTACCTAATAGCTACTTCTTGACGTAGTATCTTGCCGTCACAATCAATCATGCAGCGCATAATAAACCATGTGCTGTATCATACACATTAAGAGCAGTTCGACCCGTGGGGATCGTCTGCATTATCCAGATCTTGCACACATTCAATTCATAGCAAGCATTCCATTTCTCGCATTGTTCTTTGGGGTTTTCGGCTTTTCTCTTATCTTCTTCTTGATGATTGGCATCTTTGGTGTCGAAGCGCCGTGCAGGCTGCCAGGCATGCAAATGCAATTGTTCTAGAGGGAGTGACAGAGGGTAATTTCCAACGCCGATGGTGGCTGGATCAAAAGTTGCAAATCGTAATACGCCGGGTATTGTCTTCCAGATTAGACCAGCTTCGCTGTAGACCGACTTGCCGCGGTTGATCCTTTTAGGGTTATCGTATACGTGTGGCTCGCAAGGTGTATTATCATGGGAGGATCAGACTTTGAAGTTGTTAGCCGATAACTCCTCAAGAGACCGGGGAATGTCTCCAAGCATACGTGATGCAGAGTCCGAGAAGCAGGAAAGAGCTTCTTGTTATTGTCCGTTTCCCAAGCTTCTGCTTCACAATTTTACACCTGAGACA